ATGAAGCTCATTTTGAGCAAACTCGAGTGTTTCGTCTTCTGAAGGGGTAAAAGCAGAGCTGTTTCTGTGCCGTCGGGCGGGTGGAGGCTGCTCCACCCAGCTGCTTGCATCATGTTTGGCTCTCACAGCTATGCGGGAGCACAGCCCTGCACTTCCAATGAGTTTGCAAGTTTTTCTCTGCACATCCTGAACGGCCCTGAGTTCACTTTCACTTCTTTCAAGCATTTCACGAGTCTTTCAGTGTTTCTCCTGGATGCTGTTGGTACTGATGGTTGTGTTAAAGGTTCATTATTGCAAAATCAACGTTATAGACAGACTGTGTGGACACATGCTTGGAATTGGGCTGCAGTCTGCTCACAGTGTAGGTAAACAAACAGACGACAGGCAACGCTGACAAACGCAACATCACAGACGATAATGGCACGTGTAGCACATAAGTGCACTGGTGCAAAGATGTTGGGATAAATTATGGAGTTAAAAGGGTTTGATAATGTTACACATGTATACAGTAAGCGCACCAGGACTCGACTATATAGCATGCTTTGATTTGGCAGCAGGTATGGGGGCTGTTTAAGTACAGACACTATGTGAGTGTCTAAGTGTTGGTCAGCGCGACGGCCTGAGGAAAGAAACTGGATACGACTGGAACGGGTCATGTGACGGGTGTGCTGTGACGTTACCTGCTCGTTTCCTCCAGCTCCAGGCCTCGAGCGCCGGTGTCCTGCAGGCTTTAGATGTTTTTGACCCAACACAGCTGATTAAATGGCTGAATTACCTCCTCAACATGCCTGCAGTTTCCCACCCCTGCTGCAGGGCTTTTGGTCTCTTTGCAACCACAAGTTCCGCCTCCTGGTGGCCATTAATTAATTAGGTCAGTACCTGTGCAAAAAAAAAATACAGGTTAAAGACACACTTCACTTTTCAGACCCAGAAGCAGCGTGTGCATACTGGATACTGGTAAATATGTACACGTGAGGTACCAACAGTGAAACGGGTGTTCCCAAACAAGTTTGTTTTCTTTGTTATTTCAGGACTTTTTGGAGCGTCACTAAAGATCTTAGAACACTGGAGACTCGATCCTCTTTGAGCAGGAACTTAAATTGAACGTGAGCTGTTGGGCAGAACCGATAAGATTAAAATCTAAATAAAAGGGCAGTTTGCTCAGATCTGAACACTCCAGTGTTTTCTTCTGTGGACGTCGGCGTCTCTCAGATATCCACAAGGCCCAGTGCTGGTAGTTGGGCCTAAACTCATTTTGTCTACCACCACTAACGAGCAGTTCACTCATTTATCCTAATATCCCCGGATCGCCCCACGCGTGGGTCGTAATGTTGTTGTCTTGGACCACACCTAAGTGCACATGTTATCAGATCATAACAGCTTTAACTCCAGACTGGTCGTACACATTTAAAACATGTAGTTAAAGATTACTGACACCCTAACTGTCCACAGACTGACGAGGAACTGTGCTCTAAGGTGAGATGTAACCTTCTGTAACTGGTAATTAAAGTGTGTGTGTGTGTGTGTGTGTGTGTGTGTGTGTGTGTGTGTGTGTGTGTAAGCAGGTAGTTTGGCTTTAATTTCTCTGGTTAACAAACAGCTGGCAGACACATTTAGCCCAGCAGCCTCATTTATTCAGTGTCTGATGGCGCTGTGGAATTAAAAGGCTTTCGTCAGCTCTAAATTTAAACTTTTACAGAGCCGCTGTAAAATAAGCACGGCCCCGCTTGTATATTTTTCTTCAGAGCGTCAACATCGGGGCCCGGGCCGGCCTGCAGTCCCATATTTTAAGAGCAAACACGGAGACTTGAGCGGCGTGAATGAATGAAGGCTGGACATTTTCAGCAGCTGATTGGAGAAGCAGAGAAAAGCTCAGACACAGTTCGGGGTGTTTTCCGTGGCTCACGTGTCTGTGGACATGGAAACGACTGAAACGTGTTACCGACGGTGCGTGCTGCTGAGTTTGGCTGCAGAGGGACGTGTGAAGAACTGGTGTTTGACTCTAAGCAAGTTTCTGTTTGAGCTGCGAGTCCTCATTGTGAGCTTGTACATATGGCTCACCTTAGATAATTAGGCAGAAATATTTGAATATCTGAGGGAAGTAGAGCAGAGCCGGGAACTGTGGTCAAAACTACCTGTTATTTTCAGGTTGGCACTCGCAGATCAGCACTAAACTCTGCTCCGCTGGACGACTTTGACTAAAAGAGGCATTTTTGTTTATTCTGTCTTTTATTAATACACGGTGCACATGCTCATAGCTGTATTTGGTCTTAATGTCCTTGGATGGGTAAGAAAAAAACATGTATCCCCCAGAAACTAAAGCATTAAAAACCAGCTGTTTATACTGGAGCTCAGCTTATTAATGGTTTGAGTTCAGAGACGATTTGACTTTCTGTAAAAAGTGTCAGATGATTATCACCTGAGGAAACGGCTTATCTTCATCAGCTGATTAAAGCACTTTTGGACCCTTAAATAATGATTTCAGTTGTTTGTATGTTTGTTCTGCACTTGGAGTCAGAGCGTTAAACCCACCTGGTCACAGCTGAAGGAACGAGGCTGAAATTCCCACACGAACAGGCTGAGCTGTGAGCTTTGGAGCAAGAGGAGAAAATGAGGTGGAAAAGAGAGGAAGTATGATGAGTCCCTAAATATGCCAAATTAAAAACGCATACAGCAGCACTGTTTCCTCACAGCAAGAAGGTCGATTCCACCAGCAGGCCGGATACACTAAACAACAGTAATGTGGTGTTTTAACATCCTTCAGGATGTTCAGGGGAAAATGAGAAAATAATTTTTATGACCAAATTGTAACCAGAAATGTGCTTCTCTCTCCTCTCATTGGCTGCTGAGGCAGGTAAAGAGGGAAGTTTGCAGGTCCTGTTTTCGAGGGCTTGGTCACACTGGTGCAGCTCAGTTTGGGGAACAGAATATTGCCTCCTTTTCATGGCTGTGCAAACAGCTTTAGGCAGGGCTGAAGGCGTGGTCTGTAAGAAGGGAGATGAAGTCCAGCAGCCTCGCTGTGCTAACTGTCATGTGACCCCTCAGACTGACGAGCTCACAGCTGCTAGCTGCAGCAGACGCCCGGGCTCTTCTCGCTGTCCTGCTGCCCGACCCCGTCAGTTGTCAGCTGATGAGGTCATCGCTCAGCTGTTCGGAGTGTCCGTGCCACAGAGCCGCCCGTCACACGCGACACGGCCGGTTGGCGCTCGTGCCACAGGGGGACTCCTCCAAACCAGACAGCACAAGACCGTGGCTGTGCTCTCAGAATATTTATACCAGGGAAAAACGGGACGTGACTCTCAGGGCAGCAGAAAACAGCCGGGGCTTTGTCTGCAGACGGAGCTGTCAGACGCTTGACTCACAAAAACAAAAAAACACGAGGAAACTGGCTTTTTTCCCCCCCAAACAACTGTCAGGAGTGCAGACTAGTTTAAAATTGTGACACAGCATGATTTAAATAAAGTCTTTACCTTACAGCATAAAGCACCTTGAAGCGACTGCTGCTGTGATTTGGTGCCATATAAATGGCATGCAGTGTTATCATCACAGGCTGAACACTGAGGGGGTAGATTTAGCCGTGCACGGACCAGGTCGCTCCGTGTGTGTGCACGTGCACTGAGGTGTTTCCCTTCAGTTTTCTTTACCTGGTAGAAAAATGAATTTGTATGATGGAGCATAGACCAGTGTAAAAGTGTGACTAGTGTCAAGAACAGACTGTTATTGTGGTGGGTTCACCTCCCCTCCATGCATAACAGGACTCTTATTTAGGAAGGGAAGCGCCCGGCTCTAGCCTCACACGATTGGAGGAAGCAGCTGTCCAATGGTGCACCAGAGCAGCGCTGCGTGTAGTTTACACCAATAGTGGAGCTTTTTATGTCCCGTGTGGAGAGAGGATTGTGAAAGCGAGCACAGAGTGAAGAAGGCGTAGTTGCGATCCCAGCAGCCGTGAATGTGAAGCCGAGAGGAGCAGAGGAGGAAACGTCCAGTTAAAGAGCTGCTGGTGTGCGGTGAGTGAAGTTTGAGCAACACATGCAGAGGTTTTAGCAGCAGGCTTATCCCTGTAGTTCCCCCCTCCTGTTGCTGAATGGAAAGGAGCTGGGCTGTTTATTTCCAGCCTGTGTTTGCTTTAGTCACAGAGTTCCAGGCATACCAAGAACAAGCCTCTGTATTTAGCCAACGCGGTGTGAATGCGGCGGCCTGGCTGTGACGGAGGGCATTTTCAGCTGGAAGTGTTGGAGTTTGGACTTTGATTTAAGCAGCTTTGATTGGCCCGTAGCTGCTCTTTTAACTGGGTGATAGCTCGTGGCCACTTCTGCCTGTAACAGCTAAATGTTGACACTGGATGGATTTTGAACGAAGGAATATTGACGTCGCCTCTCAGAGCCCTTTGCCTTCTTTCTTATGTGAGCTTCGGAAGCGACAGTCTGTTTGTGTCACAGCTTTGAACCTTTGGTTTCGTCACACCTCGGCGAGCCGACTTTGACAGATTAATTTTGTTTTAAATCTTCTGCCGCTTTTGTGGAAAAGCCCGAGTGCTAATTATTTTGGCAGAGAATGTTTTAGTTGGACCCAAACTATGTGAGACGCAGAGATGTGAGAAATTTGAGATGTTTGTACTCGCTCTGTCAAATTATGACCGTCTGTGGCCAGAGGTGCCGGCAGCGTGCTGCGAGCATTAGACTAACTCTGTGTAAACAAAGAAAATACCTGCACGTTAAGAGTCGGATCAGATGAAGCTGTTGGGATTTGTGGACTTGTCCTCTTTATTTTCCTCCTTCTGTTTTTACCATGTGGCTGAATGAAATGTGCATAGATCTATTTATATGTAAGAGTGGGATTATTGTGATTTTATGTCTCAAACTAACAGGATAAATGATTTTCCTGACTCTCACACTTTCACAGACTTGCTCAGTAGATCCTCTCAGTTTGTACGAGTCTATAAATCAGTCTGTTTCCAGCATTAAAGCGACACTAATACATTTTTGTGGTCTCTCTTACAGAAAGAGGACAAAGATGCCCAAGCACAGAAGACGAGAAGGACTCTGAGGCCCCCTACTATGTTGAAACTCCTTATGGTTATCAGTTAGACCTGGACTTCCTCAAGTATGTTGACGACATCGAGAGGGGCAACACTATTAAGAAGCTGAGTATCCAGAGGAAGCCCAAAGTGGCCAAACCCTCGGCGGTGCCTCGGGGCAGCACTGGCGGGGTCGGCGCTCAGGCTGAATGGACCTCCACAGACTCGCTGTCCTCCAACAGTGACGGCAAACAGTCCCCGGTCTTCTTCACCAACAGGGC